ACCGTGTTATGTTAGTCTTTGAGGTTTCATTCATGGTTTGTTTGTTAGTTTTTGTCTAAAACTTTCTTGTCTGTTTTTCTTGCTTACAATTTACTATTGTGTCAAGTATGGCTAGTACCGGTTTACGTTGGGGTTCAGCACAAGGGTGTTCCCATTTCTTTGGAGAACGAGAACCCCCATGATGCCTGTTCCCTATGCTGGCCTTGCAGTAAGACTTCACCTTGTGAACTTTGTTTGCACACAGAGTCTACCATCAAGGCCCCCTGCCTGCCTGCAAACTTACAGCTGGAAGAGGGATTCCTCCTTTTCTTCCGGGAGGAGAAGTAAGCCTTGTAAATCCTCCGCCTGCAGTTCTGAACTGGTGGGTAATTTAGGTATTCCTGCCAGGGGTGCTCCCGTTCCATCAAGCTCTGCCCTTGAGCAGAGGGTGGTCACCCCTGTCCAGGTGCATCCTGGGTGACTCGGAGTTCACTAATCCTTGCGTCAGTACAGGTTGTATTTTTCATGCCCTCACAAGTTCCTGGTTCTGGGCCTTTCTGGTCCAGTCCAGAATTTCCTGTGCAGGAGTACCCAGGGAGTTTCCCCAAAGGATTTGGGCATTCATCCCTGGGCTGCCCAAGACAGCCTGTGGATGGTTCTGGGTGCCAACAGTATCCCAGCAGTTAGGACCAGATGTGGTCCCCCTAGGGAGGCTTCACATCAGACCTCTCCAGATGTCCCTCCTGTCCAACTGGCTTCTGTCATCCAGGAAGTGGAGGGCCTGGATTCCTCTTACCTCGTCGGTCAGGGAGTTCGCTCCCTGGTGGATCATTCAGGTTAACATTCTCCGCGGGGTACCTCTCACCAAGCCTGACTCCTCTATGATCTTGTTCATGGACACATCCATGACAGGATGGGGAGCCAATGCCACTTGGGGGAGTGGTCTGGGGAACAGCTCTCAGCAAACATCAATGAGCTTGAGATGAGGGCTGTTCTTTTGCAATGCTCTGGAGTCCTTTCGGAGGATCCTGCAGTCCAAAGTGATTTGTGTTGCTACCGACAACTCTGCAGTTGTCACCTATCTGGAGAGACAAGGGGGCACCAGGTCTCACATCCTGTGTGCTCTCGCCATCAGCATTCTTCTTCTCTGCCAGGAGATGCAGTTGACCGTTTTGCCCCATCCCATCAGGATCCCAGCAAGATCCCAGCTTTGACTAGATCGGAGGAGTAAGATAGGTTGCTTTGTCCTTGTCAGGCTCTTTGGTTTTATCTCGATAAAACAGGGGGGGGGGGGGGGGGGGGCTCTAGATCCTGTCTGTTTTTGCCCATCAAACAAGGACAATGAGATATCTCCTCCCAGTCGGTTTCCAGGTGGGGTTTACCAAGTTATTAAGTATGCTAACGGGCATTCTGATGACCAGCTTTGGGTGAGAGTGAAAGTGCAGGCTCATGAGGTCAGGGCCCTTGCTGTGTCCTTGGCCCTTCTCAATGGGTCCTCCTTTCAGGGGGTCATATCTGCAGCTTTCTGGCAGGGCAGGGACACCTTCACAGATTTTTTTATCTGTGATCCCTAGCTTCCCACTCTGAAGATCTGTATTCATTGGGTCCTTATTAGCCCCAGGGTATGTCTTTCAGTACGGCGGCACGTGGGTACACCTACTCCTACATGGGGAGGTCCCTTCCAACTCTTTGGTACTCTGTTCTCCCTCCCTACTACTTTGGCTGTGCTGGATGGGCTGTCTGGCATCTAGTCACCACTATGGTAAGACGAATTCGCATACTAAAGTTAGGGTAAGTTAGGGTAATTATAACTGAAATGAAATTGAGGTTTTTTCATGTAAAACCAATTTTCATGAGGTAATACTTACCATAACTTTATGGAGTCCCATCCCATCCTCCCTTTTTCCTTATCTGCCTGGCTGCACCTCTCTGGTGCTCCATAAAGGTTGTAAGAGGAAGAGAGATCACTCTATGTTTCAGCCGTGATGGCTCATGGATCGTAGGATTTTTCAAACTTTGTTTTTGGGATACAAAGATCGGTGTATGTACCGTTTTTGCATATCAATGTTATGGTAAGTATTACCTACTGAAAATTGGTTTTACATGAAAAAACCTCAATTTAGTCATGATGTATTCAAATCAGTTGTTGTTAATTGCTATGGTTATAAAATTAGTATCATTATATATATACTTATTTAATTATAAGTATTTTAATGTCCCATAATTCTTGCAAATATTCATGGGTTTTGACCAATATCTAACCCCCCTACCTTATTGATAAAAAGCAATAAAGAAAATTTGATTCAAAATCAGACAGTAAAAAATCAGGTTATTTAATGAAACACTAAAATCAATATGGCCCCTAATCTCCAGGGCATAGCAATGACTACTGGCAGCAATGTCAAACATTTAATCATGTTAAAATATGGCGCTGCAACTGATGCTGAATTTGTCCTTACAAGAATCTCTCCATGTTTCCTCAGAGAGAGTGGCCACAAACTGGATATTTCAAAATCTAAAATGACCAGTGGAAATCATTAAGAATATCATATACTTAATACTTACCACATCTAGGACCTAAGGTAACATACAGTCAACCTCAGGTCTTTCTTCTTTTTGAATTGTTTTAATTGCTCTAAGCTAACATTGCATTGTGAAAGTAACACTGCGTTCTCTAATAAAATGATGCCTCTTCTGTGTGAAGATTTTATGTCTGATAGGTTACACTTGACAACACGAATCTGATCATTCGTCAAATGTCTCCGAGCCAATATCATCTTCAGATGTTCATAATAAGTATCTAACTTATGGCGGGCAAAAATCTCCAGCTGGATATCATAGACAGAATCCCTAGAATCCAAGTCAGTAATTAGTGTAACACAGAGAATAGGTTGATACTTACAGCTTCTTGGGAATTAGAAACTATAGAGATATGTGCATTGCTTTCATATAAAAAAAAACATTTAAAGTGATAATAAAACTTTACACAGACTACAGTAATATATATAACAAGGGTGGCCGGGTGGCGCAGTGTTAACACACTCGCCTTTCACCTAGCCGACTGGGATTCGATTCCCGGAACGGACGTGAAAAGGTAAGGGGTCACCTGCCCGACCACGTGGGTTTTCCCGGGTACTCCGGTTTCCTCCCACAATAAGACCCCTCGCGTGCTTACATCCGGGCCAACAAGAGTGATTAGTATAAGTTGACATAACTTGTTTCGCAATTGTTGTAAAATAAATAAAGTTTATATTTATATTTATATATATATATAAAACACTCTTCTACAGTATGTAAAACTTTTTTTGCCTTGAAATAAACATTCTACTAAAAGTGTGTTTTATTAATGGACAGATCCGTGTATTGTTTGTGCCTATGATAAAGGATCCACATTGTTACTGCAACCTGTTTACAGGATGGCAGCTTCAGCTACAAATATAGTTTAAAAACAACATCATCAGGCCAGCAATTTAAAGGGAGTGTATTAGTGTGGTTAACTGTTATATACAGTCTCTGCTCAACACAGCCAGTTTTTTTTAATTTAATAGTAGTTTAGATATTGAAATTTTATGTGTGTTTGTTGCAAGGTGTATTGATCAATTGGATGAATTATTTACCAGAATTTTAACTGTATTTTATCATTTGTGATAATTTCCCTATAATTCTAGAAAACAACATATATATCATTTGAAGTCAGGAATAATGTCTTAACATAACAGGAGCAGAAAGATGTGCGACCGGATCTGAGTTTGCACCTAGGACCTTCCGAACTCTAGACCGATGCTCTACCTACTGAGATAACTGGTCACCAACTATGGACCCCGTCCAGTTCCGCTACATAACAACATTGTTTGTCAGTAATAGTAACTTCAACAATTTTGACTATATAATTAACCCATACAGCTGTTGAGAATCTAGAATATCTCTATAAATGTGCTACTTGTGTATAAGGTTATTCAAATATTGATTTTGAAATTATTTCAACATCACATAAGAAGGTTATATGGTGTGTCACAAACGGACATGTGTTTAAACACAGTTTCTGCAACCTTTATCTCATCTTGACTAACAATACTAAACAACAACGCAAGATAGATCTTTGAAGTAAGTTGTTCTTAAAAAAAAAATAACTATAATAAACGAGATTCTACATCACCAGAAAAGTACACATACAATTCCTAACACATTCTGTTTGGCTTCTACATCATTATCTATACAACACTTTATAATTATAATGGTTTATATACTGATTTTACCTACATCATTATCTATACAACACTTTATAATTATAATGGCTTATATACTGATTTTACCTACATCATTATCTATACAACACTTTATAATTATAATGGTTTATATACTGATTTTACCAATCTCGTTGATGCCACTGAAAGCATCACAATATTCTAGGAGTGGAGTGGATAAGGAGATCACTGTTTCAGAAGCAGATCAAGCAATGTGGATGGTGAATAACATCCACAGAACTATAAGGCCCTTCAGGCCTCTTGTTTTTGTTTTGATTTAAAACAATATGTAAATTATTGTTAAATAAGTTATTGTAATCTCTGTTCACAAAATATTCTTTAATGATGATATACTGTTGGATTTTGGTAGTTCATTATAAGCTGTATGGTAGTGACTTTGGTGAGAGGATTCACTAGCAATGTCTTACAATGGAAACCAAAGACAAATTAATCACATCACTTATAATGATATTGGAAATCTTTTAGCCAGTGACTTAAGCTAACATGAAACATGCTATTTCTAATCTGAGATTTTCTCTCTTTGACTTTCATCTGTATAGATAAGCATGAACACAGCTGAACATTTCTTGGACCCAGAAATCAATATGAAACAGTGTTGAAATGACGCTTTATCGTTTGTTGGCCAAGAGAGCCATTTTTTGTTATATTCATTTATGAAGAAAATATTAAGTGTGTTACAACCCAAGCGGGACTGGTGCTTCCACCACTTTATTCCTATTCAGGTCAAGCAAAACATAAAATGCAACATTCACAAGCATGTCACGCATGCACACTGGAGCCAGGTAATGGCAAATAGTTATAAATCAATTATGTTAGGAATACACAGTAGAACAGACGGACAATAACAGCTGTTCTAGATTTCTCAGAGAAAAGACTTACGAGCGTAAATTGTATAACAAGAAATACTGCAAGGAAACATTAATATTTTTCATATCTAAAATACTAAGAATATTCACTTTTGGTAGGGCATTGCATGTGCAGTCATCTGCATTAAAACAAATCCTGGAATTCCATTGACAAGACAAGCCACGTTTCTCCTCAAAGACATTATGGCACCAAAAGATTATTAAAAACAGACAGATCAAGGACAGTTACAACAATACACAGACATCAAAACTGATCAAGGACAGTTACAACAATACACAGACATCAAAACTGATCAAGAACAGTTACAACAATACACAGACATCAAAACTGATCAAGGACAGTTACAACAATACACAGACATCAAAACTGATCAAGAACAGTTACAACAATACACAGACATCAAAACTGATCAAGGATGGTTACAACAATACACAGACATCAAAACTGATCAAGGATGGTTACAACAATACACAGACATCAAACCTTATCAAGAACAGTTACAACAATACACAGACATCAAACCTTATCAAGAACAGTTACAACAATACACAGACATCAAACCTTATCAAGGACAGTTACAACAATACACAGACATCAAAACTGATCAAGAACAGTTACAACAATACACAGACATCAAAACTGATCAAGGACAGTAACAACAATACACAGACATCAAAACTGATCAAGAACAGTTACAACAATACACAGACATCAAAACTGATCAAGGACAGTTACAACAATACACAGACATCAAAACTGATCAAGGACAGTTACAACAATACACAGACATCAAAACTGATCAAGAACAGTTACAACAATACACAGACATCAAAACTGATCAAGGACAGTTACAACAATACACAGACATCAAAACTGATCAAGAACAGTTACAACAATACACAGACATCAAAACTGATCAAGGATGGTTACAACAATACACAGACATCAAAACTGATCAAGGACAGTAACAACAATACACAGACATCAAAACTGATCAAGAACAGTTACAACAATACACAGACATCAAAACTGATCAAGGACAGTAACAACAATACACAGACATTGATCAAGAACAGTTACAACAATACACAGACATCAAAACTGATCAAGGACAGTTACAACAATACACAGACATCAAAACTGATCAAGGACAGTTACAACAATACACAGACATCAAAACTGATCAAGAACAGTTACAACAATACACAGACATCAAAACTGATCAAGGATGGTTACAACAATACACAGACATCAAAACTGATCAAGGATGGTTACAACAATACACAGACATCAAACCTTATCAAGAACAGTTACAACAATACACAGACATCAAACCTTATCAATGACATTGAGAAATGGAATGAAGTTTTAGAGAAAAACCAAATTTAGAGACGGCAAAAGACAATCAGAAAACTTAAAAAGACTCCTGTGTAAATTTTGATTTAGAAGATGGGTAAATACGTTATTTTAGAGTTAGCGAATTCATTGTGAATGCCAATGTGAAGGTTTCAATGAGTAACACTTACATTTGGGAAAGTGACACTAAACTACGAGCTCTAGTACGAGTACAAAAAACAGCATAGTCAATCTCCAGAATAAGGAAAAATGAATCTGAATGAGAACTTGGACATTTGCAGAAAAAAAACATTTAAAATTTGTCCATTTGAAGCATGCTCTTTATTAACATGTTCAGGCCAAGATTAAAGAGTACTGTTTAAAATAATTGTCTTACTCCCACTTAATTATGATGTTGCATAGTCAAAACAGACTTCTGCCAAATAGCAATGTATCTAGGCAATTTATGTAGTTAAGTATCATGAAGATTCAGAAAGCCCTAATGTTTAAATGTCCCTTAATTTTGTTAATGATTTCACTTAACTCTATTGATTATACTTAATCTTTATCTAGATTATACAGTTTCTATGTGAGTATGAAATCTCATTACTTGATTCTTGAGAACTACAAATTTATCTTATTTCCAGGAACGATCATATGTAAATGTTTAAATTAAAGGTGTTATGAATTCTTGCCATGATTGTTGATGGTACAAAAAAAGTTGTTGAATTAGAAAATTTAATTCCAAACTATATTTCTATGCTAGCTGTGTTTGACATATAACAAATCTGAAAAACCAATTTGGTTATGAAGATATTTAATTCAGTGCTGCTATCAAACAGAAATAAAGTGTGAACATTCAAGTTAATAGCTCTAAATGATCACCTTAGAGAAATACTCCATCCATATATTCTAATTCTCTTTACATAGATATTCAGGACAGATCTCAATGTCTTCTTTCTATAGAAACTTCACTGCAAATTTGACAGGGTAACCATGACAACTGTGTAATGGGCAAACTGTCAGAGGATTTCAATAATAAATGCTGGAGTTTTGCATGTCAAGTTTTCTCAGTTAGGTGATGGCCTTATCAATGCTTGTAAGGCATTCCTTTATCATACTGAATTATTGCGGATCCAAGGCCTTCTTGCCAATCAATTTCACTGACAATGTATATTACAACATCGGTAAAAAATCTTCAGCTACAATGATTTCAGTTCTGGAATATGAAATATCTGTCTGATATGTCTGTAAGGTACAAGTTTAACAAAGTAAACTCATCAACTGGAATTTTATCATCAAGATAATGACTTAAAGCAAGAATATCACCATGAACTCATCAAAAAGAATCTGATCACGAACACTGTGCTCTCAAACAGGAACTTGATGCTCAATACAATCCTCCTTAACAGGAAGTCGATCACCAAGACTGACTTCAGTTATAGGAAATTGATCATCAAAACTGTGCCCGCCATAACAGGCAGGTGAACACCAAGACTGTGCTGTTATTTAGAGGAAATCAAACACCAAGATGTATCTTTATCGGCACATTTTCTCTTTGACAGGAAGTTAAACACAAAGTTTGTGCCCTCAGTAATGGGGGAAAATGATTACAAAGACTGTGCCATCATTTACAGGAAGTTGATCACCAAGACAGCTGTGCAATCATTAACAGGAAGTTGATTATCAAGACAGATGTGCCATTATTAACAGGAAGTTGATCACCAAGACAGCTGTGCCATCATTAACAGGAAGTTGATCACCAAGACAGCTGTGCCATCATTTACAGGAAGTTGATCACCAAGACAGCCGAGCCATCATTAACAGGAAGTTGATCCACTAGACAGCTGTGCCATCATTAACAGGAAGTTTATCACCAAGACAGCTGTGTCATCACTAACAGTAAGTTGATCACCAAGACAGCTGTGTCATCATTAACAGGAACTTAATCACAAAGACAGCTGTGACATCATTAACAGGAAGTTGATAATCAAGACAGCTATGCCATCATTAACAGGAAGTTGATCACCAAGACAGCTGTGCCATCATTAACAGGAAGTTGATTACTAAGACAGTTGTGCCATTATTAACAGGAAGGTGATTAATAAGAATGTGCCCTCATGAAGAGAAAGTTAATGATTAAGACATATTAGAGCAAATCTCATCAACAGCAATTTATCCTAAGACTTGGCTTCATTATCAACATGAAATGAACATTACAAACATAAATTGAATTGAGTGTAAACATTCACAACATTCAGAACTAAGAAGTTAGGGTTCACAGGGTTATACATCATAGTTATCCCCAAGTTGAATAGATATTACATATAATGAAGGATGGACCTAGAGATCACACTTTTCTGGTACAACACCATTATTTCTATCTAAGTCAGAAAGTGGCATCAACGTATTTGGGAAGCAATAAATTTGTGATTAAAAACCAGAAATGTTCTATAAATGATAGCCTGTCATGGACATGATAACCCCACCCTCTCTGTGGCCTAGCCATTATTGTCTGTTAACCTTCTGAAAATGCCATTATACTGACCAACTCTCTATCAATTTACAAGCGTAATCTATTATTATACAATTTATTACACAGAATCCATTAGAAGGCATTGTCAAGGTGACTTTATGTTATGGGTTTGTACCAAAAGAAAATTCTGTCAAACAGCATTAGCAATGGTTAGGACTATGTCATGGCACATAATCTCTGGCATTTTACCTCCGTATTAGAAGACTTGCTGTCATACACACTCCTCGATGATAAAAGTCACGTTTATATGATACCCAGGCAGTAAAAAATCCTTGTATACATTCCATGCTGCAGCATTTCACATATTTTTTTTTCCTTTTTTACTGCTACAAAAAGGCCATGATTCCCTTCTTATTTCTCTGCACCATTTACCTCCATACGATTTTAGTCTATCTATTAGAGCTTTATCTGGAAGAGGATTTTGACATATTTTACCCTGTGACCTTCAAAGTAGGTCAAGGCCATTCAGTTTAGACTCTTTATCCCATTATGTAATTCACCCTGAGAATCTAATTTATTTAGAAGAAAGTTGCTCAAAGGAATAATATTGCTGAATCCGAACCCTTCGAGTAGGTGAACTCAAAAAATAATGTTGGGGAAGTACCCGCACAAAAGGTTTCATATGCCAGCACAGCATGAAAAGTAGCACTGCATGGTCCTGACCTAATGTTAACTTTGTATCAAGTTAAGAATCCATTACACCATCCATTCTTTAGAAAAATTCAAGAATATCTCAGTTAATCAAAAGACACAGTGGTAGTTTTGGATTTTCTGATCCATAACGAGAAATAATAATTATCATATTTGTTTGAAACACAATATGGATCTTTTAAATCAACTTAGATATCAATCACACCAGCCTTTCTTGAGAAGAAATATAACATGTCTTAACCAGTCAGAAGCCACTGCTGCCATTTTAGTTTTTGTGATTCGTGTGAAAAACAAGAAACGCTTGTGCAGGACCTGATGATGACCATTTGTACTAAGTTAGAAGTCAATAGTACCAGCCCTTCTCGAAAAATAATAGGAAATGTCTCCACCAATCAGATGTCATTGCAGCCATTTTGGATTTGGAAATTTGCACAAAAAACAGCAACACTTGTGAGGGATCTCATAATGATTATTTGTACCCCAATAGAAGTCAATGGCACCAGCCGTCCTTGAAAAGAAGTTCAAAAAAACATTTCAGTCAATCAGACGCGACAGCAATCATGTTGGATTTTTCGATCGATGCCAAAATCAAAGACACTTGTCAAGGATGTCAAGATGGTCATTTGTACCAGCGTTCAATGTTCCATACCTCTTGTAGATATAAATACATTCAATCCAACTGTCATCAAATCCATGTATATCTAGTGAAGATGAACCCACTTACCAAATTTGGTAGAGATCCTCCTGCAAAGATGTAGTGTAAGAAAGAAAAAAGAAAAACAAAATGTCATTTACAGAATTAACAGTACCATAACTTTGTAGACATACACAGATTCTAATAGTTATTGAATCCATGTGATGCCTTGTGTACATAAACCCACAAAACAAATTTGGGGAAAATTTCCCTGTAAATATGCAGTGTGCTGAAACTAATAAAATGGCATATTTTCGGCATTCAAAGTCCCATTATTTTTGAAAATTTTGATGGATGACACTGGTTATCAAACTCATGTGAGGTCTAATTGATATGAACCTACAAACGAAATTTGGAGAACTTCCAACTACGAATACAAGTTATAGTGTGTCAAGTAATAAAATTGTCAATTAAAGCTTTCTAAGTCCCATAACTCTTGCAAATTTTTACGCTTTTGATTGAGTAGCAAAACCATGCAATATGAAGCCATATACCAAATCTGGAGAACATCTGACTACAAAGATGCAAGTTATTACAATCCAAATAATGAAAAGGTAAATTTTCGTCATTCAAAGTCCCATAACTCTATTCTTGCAAATATTGAGAGATTTCAACGGTTATTGAACCCATGTGAGGTTTTATGAATATAAATCACATATAAAATTTGTTGAGAACGTGACAAGACATACACAAGTTAATGTGTGGAAAGCAAAATGGACAGACAAACTGATTACTATAGGGCACCAGCATTTTAAGAAAGGCCCCAATTACTGTATTAGGTTTGATGGGTCAGTACACTTCTCTCCCCTACCTTCATCATAGTATATATATCAGATATACACGTAGTGGGAAAGTTGATAAACTAAATCTAAAGATTAATAACAGTTGAGATAACCAGTGCATTGTTCAGAAACTTCTGCCATTGAGTATTGATAACAAGTTACCAAACAGAAATAATCTGACATTACAGACTGTTATGAAATACAATCTCTGGCCACGTAGTCGACAGTGTTGACTGCTATGCAAATAATCAAAATGGACATTTCCAACTCTTTCTGAAAAAAACTCCAGATGACAAGGACAAGAAATTGATGAGAGTGGCATGATCTTGCCCCAGACAGGCAGCTTAGTCCTAGTCCATTTTCATAACCACATTAGGCCAGAGACACTCTT